GTTTTTAGATCGATATAGTGGTGCAGAAATCCATTTCTGCCATTAATTTAGCGAACCAAGTTTCAGATTGAGTAATTGTTGGTAATTCTTTCAAAACCTCTGCTCTGGTGGTACCAAATTAATGAGCAGATGCTTTCAATTACGATCACGTCGGATGTCAAAAATAGCAAGCACAAATTCAGAAGTAGGCATATAGTAGAAATTATAGGAGCTTCATGCAGTTTTTGACGGAAATTGTTCCGACAAAACCTCATTAGACTTCATTCTGACTGTGGCTCGTGTGAACCATCTTTGCTCTTTTTCCTGGTGTTATTTCAGGAAAAAGGATTACTCCTCTCTAATGTAAGAATAACATGATTTATGGTTCTCTTTTATTCTGCCGTATGCCGGGATTTGGAATATTGAGGTATCAGAAGAGGGGAAGTCTTTTATGTTTTCATCAAATCAGTGAGAAGGACATGAAACAATTGAACTACTAGAGTTTCTACAATGGCTATGAAGCAATGTGGACCACTGAGTTAGTGAAGATGACCACTGAAGTGTGGAAAAGAATGGGAACGGATCATGCAATCAAAGTGATTTGGAAGATTGCAAATGTCAAACTCCGAAAAAAGGACTTCAAAAACATGCAGTTTTTTGCTTGTAGATGGTTATCTATTGTGGTTGGAGTAAGGAATACTGACCTCTTGAATTATGAATTCGACTACAATTCTATGATGAAACAAGCTTCCCTTCATACGATAGCTAGTTGGAAATGGCTTATTGTGGTTGACATTTGCCGGCACAGTACTTTTTGGAGCTCTTTGCATAATTTAAGTTTGTGTTGTTGATGTATTAGTGGCTTCAGTAAAATACTCTTAATCTCGCTTTCATCGTTGAACATTTTATGGATTGGTTAATTGAAGTTGACTTCTGATACTAAGGACGGAAGTCTTGTTTAGTAGTTATGTCATTCATGTGCCTTTTATTAGTTATTGTGAATGCTTGGACTCCAGAATGAAAGTAAATTTTATCATCTACCTTGTGCCTGTAAATAGTTTTATTGAAAGCTTTAGTTTAACAACAAAAAATCGAATCTAGAATAATCTGCAAATTATCTACTTAGTAGACACTATCCAGAGGCACTAGGCGCTTCCCTAGACACTCAACAAGAACAAAGCAAGATGATATATATATATATATATATATATATATGTATATATATATATATGTATATATATATATATGTATATATATATATATGTATATATATATATAATCATCAAGTCAAGAATTTCAACTAAAACATGAATTCTTTATCATGCAAGAGCTTCCAGCTGTCTATAGCGCACAAAGTCAATAAAATAATAATTAAAATTAGTTCATGCTCAATATGAAAAGAATTCAAACATCTTTTGATTCAAGAGCTTTGGAGAGAGGAGAAGAGAGGGGAAGGACTGTGACTTATAGTGAAATGCACATACATCACTTGTTTGGTTAGGTCAGGTTGAGTTATGGATGTGAACGTCTTGTTGTCCAACACCTCTATTGAGCTGCTGGCCCGGGTTTTTGTGGGTCAAGCAGGGCTGATGCCTCTCTGCCTGGAATAGGCGCTCACCTGGGCAATGCCTACTAGGAGTTACATCTCTTAGGTCAACTAGATGCACTCTGGGGTGCTCAGAATGCCTTGTGACAAAATTATAGTTACTACACCTGAAACCCACCAGAAGCAGAAAACACAGGTTCTTGTATCTGCTTGCTGGTAGTATCAGTAAATATGCAAAATGTTTAGAAGTTAAATGTACTAGGTAGCTTTCTCTAGTTTTAGATATCCATATATAGAGATATAAGTCTAGGCTGCTAGGGTTAGTATGATAAGCTAGACCTGGGTTATGCCATACAATGGCATGGTTTCTCCTAAGTTATAAGAGAATTGCTAAGGACGTTGATTTCAGTTTTATCGACTAGTAAATTTCAGCATTCAACGATGTTGTCCTTTGTCCAGATCACAATGATGTTATGTGACCTTTGCTAATTCTAAAGATTTGGTCCACACTTGTCTGTAATGTCTTTTTCTCAGTGACACCCATATCAATGTCTTTTTAATCTTCTTTTTCTTATTACATGTCTTTGATGATTTTTGTCTATTTATATTGTCCACAGAGAGATGGGTCATCTTTAAGTTCAACAGTGATGCTTCAAGCTGACCTACAGCAAAGTCTCTTTCACTTTCTACCAGAGGCAAATGAACTTGTAAACCTCCACTGCTTATTATGTAAGTAGAATTTAACTTTGTTCCTCACTGTGTCCTTTTTTCCATTCTTCACAGACCATCAACAGTTCATTAAATTATTCTGCTTTAACGAATTCAGATTTTAAAACATTGCATGGTTCCATATATCATTCTGCTGCTGTCTTCAATCCATAATCTTAATTTTGATTTTCTATGCTAATTACTCTCCTCAACTTGCCAAATAATCTGCTAAGCATAAGTTTTATCCCATGAAAAAATTGCTGGAAAAACTTGACTTGGGTATGTTCCCAACCTGGTTTCCGGGAGGAGATCGACGACAACCAGAAGCCATACGATGCCGACCTGGAAGAGATCCGTTGAGTTAAAGTTGCAGGCGTAAATGGAGGCAGCGTTATTTTTAACTACTTTTCTACTAGGCAAATGGAATCAAGTAGATGAGCTCAGCCAGGGGTGACTGACAAAATAGGTCTTGACATGTTGCGGACAGGACCACGAGGGAATATTCATGGCTGTGATGTACAGTTTTCACATTTGTCCCACAAAAAGCTGGAATAGTACTGGGCACAGGGAAGGTTCAGGCTCACGGTGTGATTGGCCAATGTGGAGCGAATCAGTCAGTCCCCTGTTCTATAAATTTCATTGTCAGAGTATGAACGGTATTATCCATCTGATCAATATTAGATGAGCAGACCGGCAAAAGATAAACTACGTTGATTGATGATGTTGTTGATGTGTAGTGGGAAGGGCCTTGCCGTCTTCATTGCGTGGTTCTGCTTGGTCATCGACTAAAGTTGATAGTGTCCCTTAACGCCGTGGCTGTGCTGGTTGCTACAGGCGAGAGGAGCAGCGTTTTCTGAGAACATGGAAAAAGACGAGGAACAAGAGAACAAGTGCAAGGCCACCGTACGCGTAGCGTGATCATTGGCATACGTGCGCTGCACATGCATCTCTTGCTGCGTCTTTGACGCATTTATCAGAAATAATGATGAGCGGGGAGGGTCTCCGCTCTCCTCGGCTGGCCACCTGACGATAGCCCAATGTCGGTCGAGGGACCGCGACGTTGTGGTACCGACCAACTTCGGTCGTCGACGTTGGACGCGTGGCAGTCGACTAAAGCTGCAACGCTGGGAGTGATGGGACACTACGATGGCAAGAACTCCCGCCGACACCTGCGGAAAGTTGGGTCACCTTACCTTGGGTGTACCCTATCGCCGGTTCAAGTGACGCTTCAGTTAAGAGAGAGACAAAACTTCATTTTAGCTAATCAAATGTAAGCTGACGACGAGTCGTTAAAGAAACTAAGAACACAGAGCGTTGGCAGGAGGGCACGAGGGAGCACGTGAGGGATCTCTTCCCTCTCTTTCGCTCTCTCCTCCCCTCCGCTTTGGATCCTCCCTCCTGTCTTCTTCCCAGCGGCATCCAACGTCTCCCCCCCGCCTTGGGCGCTCAACTACCGGTGATCCTACCGGCGGGGCCCGCTGGTGTTCCTGTAACGCACGGGAAAAGGCGAACAGCTGGCGGCCGACGCGTCGTCCACGACGTGGGGACCGCCGGCGTGGCTGGAGATTACTGTACGGACGGGCCTGAGAATGACTGCGACTCCGCGGGAGTGGTCGGCCCCCTTGCCGCAGAAGCGGGCCGCGCCGAATCTGTCTTGTGCCCCGCAGGGTTCAGCCTTCAACTTCCCCTAATCACATTGACAAGTGGCGACCCCTTCTCCCGGTGGCGGACTCATCGGCAATGTGGTCTGATAAGGCTGAATCCTGCTTCACCGGGGACGGCAAGCCATCAACCGAGAGCGGAACAACGTCAGCCGCATGATTGGAGTGTCGTCAGAGATCTCACAGCTGTATCCGGTTGTCTCGCGCCGTCCCTTGATTGCCCTCCTTTCATTTATTACGTCAATGTAATGTGAGGTGAAAAGAAAACGAACGGTAAACGGTTAGAGAAACGGGTGCAGCGGTTGTCCCCGCGGCGGCCGACACCGCACATGCCCTACTGAACGCCACTCACCTCACCCGTAGTAATCAACAACCGTTCGCTCGGCGCCTGAGGCGCCCCGGACAGCAAACAGGTAAGACCCTATTTATTGCCGATGCAGTGGGACCCACCGGGCTTCCTGTAGACCTCTCCACCGATCCGACGGACAGCGAACACACCGTGTCGCAGGAAAGCGCAGCTGATCATCGCGTGAATGCTCTCGGAAATGTTCCAGGCGTACAGCCGCGAGAACCCCCCGGTGCCATGACTTGCATGTAAATTTCTACTAGCGCGCCAATGATTCTCATAACGAGGCGAAACCTAGATATATAACTCACATTCGTAGTCTCTTATCATGGAGCTGACTAGATTAAGTACTGCGGTGAAAGACCGGTAGTCGTCTCCCGGGTTTCGGCTGCAAAAGTGCATGTCAACTTACTTACCGCAGGAACATGTCCTTTCCCTATGGTAAAGTGCATTCAACAAATAGAAAATATGCCTCTCACACCGATCTCAAGCATAAAAACAATGGCCTAAACTGTGGATGCCACCAACCAATCACACTGTGAGGAGGATACATGTACATTTTCCTCTGAAAGAGGTGAACTGTACGCCCAGTCTCCAGCTCATCACTCACATTTCGGGAGGTGAGGCCGTAATATATGTGCCAGAACTAACATGGTAGAGGGACAAATACGCGGGACAGCAGGCGAGGAAAGAGAGAGGAAAAGGAGGGTGGGGTGGGGTGGGGTTGAAAGTAAACAGGAATTTAAAGGGAATGCATGAAGGGCATGAGCCACCTGCTCCTTTTTAATGTGCTCCCCCTTCACCACTCCGAGTGCCTCATTATTCCCTCAGAGGCATGGAAGCCCTTGTTATTGTGTTCCTTAGCAAAGCTGCACATTAGCAGTGCTCCATCGTTCCCTTGTACTCAACTCTTTCTCCACATCCACTCCATCACTGCTCGTTTGCTCTGATGACGCCGTTGTGGGAGATGCCAATTGGCATGGATATAATTGGGATGGGGATGGAACCTTCTTATACTAGGAGCTCTGCCGCTGTTGCACCACTCATTACTCATGCCACTACCACTATGCCTGCGTACCTCTATGGTTCTCTTCCGCCTGCTGCCAATGGCAACAGTCTCCGCGAGAACGACCTAATCGCCTTCTCTGACCACGATCTCTTACCCTCTGCCGCCACCGACACCCACTTCTATGCTACGACGGGGGCGTCTTCGATGGCCGGAAGCGTTCCGCTCTTGGCGCAGGCCTTCTCGAACTTCCAGTCTCAGCAGAGCCAGTTCGATCTTTGTATGCCGGTGAGTACGACTCTAAAACAACTAAACCATGATTCACCGACACTTCCTTGAGATAAATAAAGCATGGCTCAAGGTTTCGAGGCTATCATGCAGCAATGCGAGGACGCAGCAGAGCTCGAGTGGCTGTCCCAGTTTGTGGAGGACTCGTTCTCCGACGTGCCGTACCAGCCCAGCACGAGCATGACTGCGCCCTCTTGTGAGGCGCCGCCTCGAGCGGAGCAGTTGGCCAATGGTCGCGGAGCTCGGAGCAAGCGCTCGAGGGCAGCCCCTGGTGCGATCGCCGGCCCCAACGCCGCCTGGTCCTCACTAGTGGCGCCACCGCAACCACCGGACCATAACTCGCCTTCGTCCTCCTCCTCATCCTCCGAGCTCCCACCGTCCAGGCCGACGGCCGACAAAGACAACAAGAACAGCAGGGGAAAGAAGGGCGGATGGGGGGGCGTGGGGGTGGAGGGCGTGGTGCGGCGGTGCACGCACTGCGCGTCAGAGAAGACGCCGCAGTGGCGGACGGGGCCACTGGGGCCGAAGACGCTCTGCAACGCATGCGGCGTGAGGTACAAGTCCGGGCGTCTCGTGCCGGAGTACCGCCCGGCGGCGAGCCCCACCTTCGTGCTCACGCGGCACTCCAACTCCCACCGCAAGGTCATGGAACTCCGACGCCAGAAGGAGCTCCTCCTCCACCGCCACCAGGAGATCGACTCCTCCGATGCCGCCGCCGCCGCCGCACGGCCCGAGCAGCAATTCGATGACTATGGCATCTGCTGAGTTGACACATCCCACGCCCCTGAAAACCGCCGCCGGCCGTCCCATTCTACTCCCTAACTAAAATTCTCCCCTCTAAATTTGTGTACCTATAATTAATTGCTTCTTGGGGCTGCTAAGAACACTATCCACGAATCGGACGGTTGAGATCTTATCAGACTTCTAACTTTATTCTTCTCTATATTATTTGAACTTCTTAATTACTAGGCCGGGGTTAAGAAGGAAAGAAAAAAAAAAAAAGCAATGACTGAGCTGTTTTAACAAACAGCTGCACGTGACGTGCTGCAGCGGGTGCCTGCAACTCTGTCGGGTGGAAAGAGAAAAGAACCTGTTCGGGTCACGTGACGAGACGCGGTGATGGCGATGGGATGCAAAGTGAACGGGGGCTCAGCACTCACCAATTTATCTGTGCAGGATCTCCAATTTCTCCCCTAAAATGAGTAATTGGCACCTTAAATCCCTGCAAATACAAAAAAAGAAGAGTAATGAATTATAACTAACTCATGATATTTATCTTTCAAACCAAACATTTACAGTGCTCTTCTACAGTCTGATCTAACCCAACAAGTTTGAGTTCTTATCCTCTAAAACATAGGAATTTATTCAACAGAGGCATCCACCTGTTTGCTTACATGTGATATTTATTTCTGTGTCCATCAAACCATAAGAAGAACAAGAACTATCCGCTAAATTGGTCTATCTTTTGTGGGTCTGACCATAACCTTGTTAATTAGGTTAAAAAAGATGCAAAGCTTCTAAATGGACTGAAATCGCTACTTCCTCAACAATAGCATCTCATGTCAAACAAATAATGTATTCAGGAGCAACAAAATGATGCAAATATCCCAAGAATTCCATGATTATATTTCAGATCAAAGCAAGTTCTCCAAGAGTCTTTCTAGCAATCGCAAACTGGTGGCATTCAGATTCATCGAAGAACACAAGGAACGATAGAATCACGATCAACGCACCAGCATCAATAGGAACCAACCAGAAACGCAGCGACTAGGTTTGGGGAAGCCCCAAGAAATCAAAGCAAACCCTAAATTGCCGGCAGGAGGATGGTCGATTACCTTCCGTCGGTGTTGACATCGAGCCAAGAGGAAATCTGGGGAGGACGTAACAGCGAGCCGCACGCTTCGGCTCTCAAACAAAAAAACTCAACGATCGAAATAAAACAAAGACGATTTCAAGAATCCACTTACCAAACCACGCGAGGCCCGGTTTTGGTGGCTTTCCATCGGCCTTCCATCATCTCATCGCTCGATCCGGATCCGGATCCGGCGGAAGGAATCGCTACTGTGACTTCCGGCGTCGCCGAAGGCCGTCCTCGGTTCCCGTGGATTCCGCCCCCTTTTGATCTTTCGTTTGAGCTCTCCGTTCCAATTCAGGTTTGCCGCGCAAACAATATATAAAGCAAGCAAGAGTATGAAATGAGAATATTATACATATTCTCACCTCCTGGAATGTAAAGAGTTTGATCACCTTACATCTTTTTATGACGACTAATCCTTTCAAGTACTTTGTTGCCTACGAGCAACTCGCTTGCCAACATATTGCAAGTGTTTTATAACGTTTATCCATATGATTGCTCGGCACACGAACCTGCTTTTACCAATTAAACCAAACATACGCAATGTGAAAAAGAGACTCGAGGCAAATGCATCGGCCTCTGCTTTGCTCCGTCTGGACAAAGATGAATTTATGTTCCTGCATTCATAGTTTCAGACATACAATAATGATATGAATCTTTAAAATCATGTAATTGATCAGTCGGAGAATTCGATACCTGTCGAAAGAAACGTACTGAACCATTTTGCTGGGAATGCAACTTTGTCTAATTTGTTTTGCAAGTGACAACAAAACGATGGAAGAACGACTAAGATTATTAAAATGGTCGATGTATCGAGCCGTCTATACCGTAATCCACAGAGGCAAACAGCCACTTGTAAAAGAATATGTTAAACCAGCAGACATGAACTTGAAAGCACAAAAATGGCAGCACATCAGTGTGATTTTGTATCCACACAATGAGCAATGCTCATCTCTATTCACAACTCTTCTTTGATTTCTTTTGGCTGCTGTTAATCCTGTAGAAACCAAGCTTCAGATCCTCTTAAAAAATCTCCCACCCCTCCCCATGCCTGTCCCTACCAAGCTCATAGCAAGAACAGATTTGGTGTCTGGTCTCCACTTGAACTCCTTGAGAACTGAGAAAAGGCTTGATAGAGAAGGAGAAACTTCATCATCCTTTATATTATTGCATGAGACAACTGCAAGACGCTGCAAATCCACCCAGGATAGAGCCACTGATTCAAAACCTTCTGTTGTTAAAAGAGAGCATCCTTCTAATGAGAGAAACTTCACCCTTCTGCATATAAAGTCAAAAGAAACGGTATAAAACATCGAGCCAATCAAGACCAAACCATGAAAAGCTATCAACACTTGAACACTAATCAACCCAGTCTGCGAACAGACCAAAAACTTTACTACAACTATCTGCTACCATAAACCGAGTCCAATTTTCTAAAGGAATAGGTTTGGAGAATTTGTCTCATAGAGTCTCAAACTGCTTTCAGAGAAAGTTCTCTAGGTCATCCACGGGAAGGAATTAATAGAAAAAAATAAACATCTACAATTTAAAATGATAAGAAGTCTAGGCAAGAAAGCAACTCTATGTTATCTTGCAGTATCAGAATTGATTTTCATATCTAGATCAGGACACATTGTATTCCCAAAGACGACCAGTGGCCAATTACGGATCAAAAACTGCAAAGTGGAAATAAGCCAGAAACCACTTGGAAGAAAACTTGAAGCTGGTCTAGAACCAACCAGGATTAGTTGGAAATTGGAAAGATCAGAACTTGCAGAAGGAACCAAGACTTTAACCCCTAATCTACTCCAATCAATTCCTGGAGAAGTCTGATCCCTGTTTTCAGGGTTCTAAAATTGAAGCGATGAGAACAGATGAGTGAAATATTTGACAACATTGTGTCTTAATTTTTGGAAATGTTTCCAAACTTAAAATCCTTAGATATGCAGCTGCTAACTCATGACCTATGACATCTGAACACCAATTTCTTTGAAGAATACTCGATGCAATATTAATACTGCCATATAATTTATAGCCAATTAGCATTTCAATAACAATATAAACAGCCTATGAATCACTGACACTTTAATTAATAGTGATATAAGTTTGTACTGTTTCTATCATCTATAAATATCAACAATATATAAACATAAATTGGACTGTTTCCTTACTCATTATATCATATGTGTGTTTGAAAGTGCCTTTATAAATTTCAAAACTCATAAAAACGGTTGTTATATTTCTACAAATTTCATATGATTATCATAGATTGTCTAAATTGTACAAAATCGTAAAATCATATCATATATAGAGACTACCCATATATGAATCATGATGTCCATGACATGGTGAGTACTACTTTTACAAAATTTGACATGTCTGCATGGCTGCACCATTTAGTGTTTTATAAAGCATGTATATGTCCAATGATTAAAAGTTTTCACTGTTACATGAAACAAATATGACTCACGTTTGCATTCTACATTACCCATATGAACCAATACAATACTAAGTTAGAACTTAGATTAATGACAAAAAAAAGCAACCATATAAGAAATAAACGGGGCAAGATTTTCAGGTTTCAAATATATGGTTATCAACATCCTTGCACATAGTTGAGTACAATATCTACAGATATGTCCATTTGCTAAATTGATATTGACAATTAATAAACAATGTCATTACTTAAGCAGGCTAGAGAAATGTATAGAAAACCGACAAAATATTTGCATATATAAAAGTATATAATGGCTTAAGGAATATGCATTCCTGAGAAAAGAGTGAAAGGGTACTAAAATAAATAATTATATATGGCTATATGCTATGCATACAAATATAAAGCAATCAACATTCCAAAAGCTATTTGTGATGGAAGGATACAGTTATAAAATCTTCAACATATTTTTGCAACATCCTATATACATTTCAAGCAACAGAATGCTTACAAGGATAGTTAAGGCATCATGTGGGCCATCAAAAACATTTGTTACATACGAGAGCTTGAAATTATATGGGGGAAGAAAAAGGCAGCATACTTCTCCAACAAGATAGGCTACTCAAGTTCACTGTCTCCATAGCAATTTTGTATGCATTGCTTCATACATTGAGACGTTCTAAAGTTTGAAAGAGGATAGAATTCAGCATATATCAATATCCCTGATTGGAGGGCTTTACAGGTACATCACACATTTACAAACCGTACTCGGCTCCACTTGTATTTGGCTTATGTTATCTAACCATTTCTAGCCCTACATCACCAAAGATCATTTAATTCAGAATGATATTCCAAACCTTTCTAAAGCCAAATCTACAATAGAAGGACAGAAATGATTTCACATGAACCTCTCATCAAAAGTTCTTTTCGAAACATTATTTCCTATGGTAATAAAATATCCAGTTATACACCACCACTAACATTTATTAGCTAAACATACTCAAGTCGGACATGTCATATTATTTCTGACATGTGCAGATATTGAGTTGATAGGTCCTGTCTCTTTGATATATTTTGTTCGCATGACTGATTACTGCAAGTCTATACAAGTTAATTTGGCATACTTCACATGCTTGAATTTGATTTTGTATAAATTAATCCACGGATATTATTCCTCGAAATTAAGCAGATATCACTCTTTCAAAAAGGGAAGTACATAAATAAGCTCTACAGAGCTCTGAATAGCCAGTTGGCAATTCACAAGTTTACCCAAACACATAATTCTGTGAGGATAATTCATCCTAGCAAATCTAAGTAGTTAAAGGATGTCAATCTGAAGACTATAGATATCAAGGTTAGACCAAATATGATCTTCAACTTCTACAATGTGCTACTTTCATGATTCAGGAACCACACATGAAAAAGTAAAAAAGTAAAGACAAAAAACAACAGCTACTATTATCACATATCAACCATAAATTGGATATAACAAAGCAAATAATTTGGGAGAAACAAAAAATACCTGCAAATGCTCGCAAGTCCAAACATGTCATTGTCGAGGCCCCAGCAATTTTCGAACCTAAGATTCCTAACAGCTTCGCACACCATAAACAGTGCCTGCAAGCTTCTTTTATCCCGCAGCTGGCACCGCTGCATCTGTAGAGTTTCAATGGTTGGGCACGTTCCGAGGTGCTCCAATGGCCCTGGATCAATGTCTATCCTTCTGCAACTTTGCAGCCTCAGCTTCTTCAGGTTTACACAGAAGGACAACGCCGCCATCCACCCAGCATCCATCCGATGGTCGGAGATCGTCAATTCCTCAAGCATCATGCAACAACGCCCTATGGCGGAGATGCCATCGTAGCTGCCTTCACATCCGCCTAGCTCCAGCTTCACCAGCCGCTTGCACCCATGGGCCAGTATCGTGAGTCCGATGTCGGTGACGCCAGGCCCACGGTAGAGCCCCTCGACTGAACCCACCAGCCGCAGGATCTGGAGGTTGTTGAAGGCCGATATGGGGCGGAGGGAGAGATCAGAGCAGCGGTGGAGCTCCAGCTCCTGCAGAGTGTTACATCCTCCAGCGACGGACATGAGGCCAGCCTCCGAGGCTACGGCGACGAGGGAAAGCTTCCGAAGGCCAGGGCAGTCACGGGCGACGGTCATGAGGCCGCGATCGATTGCAGCCGGCTCGAGGAAGCGGCACTCACCGACGGGAAGGTCGACGCCGATGTCGACGGCGACGGAGACTGGGCCCACAGTGAGAAGCACGCAGCCCTTGCAGAGGGCGGCGGCGGCGGCGGCGGCGGAAGGGGACGCGAAGGAGGCAGGGACGAGGTCCAAATCAGTGAGGTCGGGGAAGCGGAGGGGGAGGCGACGGCGGCCGATGATGGACCAGTCGAGGAGTGTGAGGGAGCGCCGGAGGCGGCCTACGACGCGGAGCCATCGCTTGCAGACGAGGGAGGCAGGGAGGCGGAGGGACTCGGGAACGGCGGCGAGGATGCGGAGGAGGATCTCGTCGGACAGCGTCGCGGTGGGATCCGCGACGCCTCCTCCGACAGGCCGCGGCGGGAGATCCTTCAGGGTTAGGGTCTGGTCACCCAGACCCATCTTGAGGAGCACATGCTTGAGGCGGTTATCGGCAGCGAACCAGAGGTCGGGCCAGCTCCTCAGGCGGTGGTGGTGCATCTAGGGTTCCGGCTAGGCGTCGATAGTGGTGGGTTGCCGGTGCATCGCCTCGGGCGCCGCTGCCTCTTGTCCCTCTACTTGTCAAATCTCCGTGCGAGAGCAAATGCGGCTGCCATCAATCTGTTTGATTGTTATCGTTCCATCCATCTCTTGTTCTCCTCCAGGATACAGAGATGATGACCACCGGATCACCCTCCGATCGGTTGCAGCGAACGGACGGTCCGGATCTGAGCAAGATCACGCCCTCTTTTTGTCTTATTTGGGACTTCCAACACTACTTGTCCACCGTTACCTTTCTCGCGCTCCACTTCAAAGAGCATATGAACATAGATATGGTTGCTATTCTGACGAAGCGATGTCCACTGTGGGGGGGGGGGTTCGGCAGCTTTGTCCTCGTGCCACGAATTTGAAGGAAAACGAGGGAGGAGCGGAACTGATTCAAGTTTGATGTGGGACCTGCGCAGAGAACCGTTGGTTTAGCCGCGCTCGCGTGACGGTGGGCCAAACCGACGGAGGCTCCTTTTGCCTTTTCTAGGATAACATTATCATCATCATGATCATCATGATTATGACAATCATTGTATCATCATAACAAAATATCTTAATAATTTTTTAACATGAGTTTTTAAAGAGTACTAATGAAAATTAGAATTAAAACGAATATTACATTAAATTTTCTGTAATATTTTCATTCCTAACGGAGAAACAGTTTCCGGTTTTTGCTAAGACACGGCTTCCCCAAGAAACTACATAAATAGGCGGCGTGGAAACGCGGGCGCGCCGCGACACGCGCTTCCCTGCAAGCGCTTTACCCGACACGGCGACCGAGTCAAACCCGCGACTCGTCCCGAATCCCACACCGATTCGACTCACACCCCCTTTCCGTCTTGAAAACCGTTACGGTCCCCCTGCCGTCGTTTATTTCCCCAGCTCGCTCCTCCACGCGGCACGACCTACCACTCGATTCAACCGATGGGGCCCATAGGCAACGCAGTGGGTCCCTCAAGGGGTCGGATATTTACGTGTGGTAAGTGATAAGTTCTCGCGCACCTTTTTCTTGCTTGTTCTTTCGACCAAGCATTCAATGCATGCATGTCATTTTCCATGTCTTCTCCCACACACACACACACACACACACACAGTTGAAGAGAAGAATACATAAGCTAAAAGCCAGTAAATACGATGTGCGTCCTGTTGTGGACGACACCAATGCCTAATTCCCTGCTAAACCAGTCTCAGTATCGACAGGAGGGCTGCCCAACAAGTACTATTTCCTGCTATATATAACCAATCCTGAAGCTATCAGCTTCCTTTTCCCTCGTTCTTTCATCAGAAGAAGAGCAGTCCAAGTACAGGCAAAGCAGTGCACTCTTCGCATCTCCTCCTCTTCCCTCCTTGTGGTTCTCCATGTCTTCTCCACTTCACTTCGATGACATGCAAGGCTGCTTTTGATGCCATCATCCACAAATAGTTTCATCTCTCTCTCTCTCTCTCTCTCTCTCTCTCTCCCCCACACACAGCGAAGCAAGACATGTCTTCTGTTGCTGTTTTCTTCATCCTCCTGTTAGCTCTCTCTATCCCATTGCACGGTGCCCGCCATCTACGAACCAACCCAGAAGATTCGGATGATGGCTTCGATGAGGTTGGTGCAAATCCTTCGCACTGTACTCTCCGAAGCAGCAAGATCATAGCTTGTGGATCATCTCACCGTAGTCATTGTCTCTTGTTCAGGGTTTTCATGAGAAGGTTAATGTGGCGGGGAAGGAGGCGGCGGCATCAGGTGCTGTTCGAAGCCGGTCGCTCGTCAGGGCTTCGTGGGATGTGCCTCATGGTGGTGGACGACAGAGGCAACCGGAGTTTTATGTGGATTATGTCGGGCCAAGAACGCATTCCCCATCCCACAACTGATGCACCCTCGTCCTTCATGGCTTGTGGTCTTCGTTCTCACTCGACATTTCCTGATAGGATTCAAACGAGTCGGGTTTTACGGGCTGTATGCGTTTTGTCTGCTGCAATGGCTTGCAACTCTTTTGTCGCTGTACAATAGAGAGTATACTTGAATGATTGATAGATGAGAACTCCTCAAATCTTTCTCAAACATTAGATTATTATTGATGGTGATGGAATGTGGCTTCTCGTTCTTTTTCCAGGAACTTTACAGCTACAAGAAATCTGTATGTGAAAACAAAGGAAAATACATAGAATAGTAGATGTAAGAGTAGAGAAATTGTTTGTATGATGTGCAACTCAGATTGCTTATGAATGAAACATATACATGTATGTGTAGAGATCACTTTTTCCTTTCCACGAGAGGAGATTGGAAAGTCCCATTTCTTGACCTTTCATGTTCTGAACTGAGAACAAAGCATGCAGACTCAGTAGCAGGACAAGGATTGGATTGGCATATCTAAAGATGAAACCTCTGAACTGAAGAGGCTTGTTGGTGCTTGAGAGTTCCATAAGAGCCTTTTCCTTCAGTCAAGGCTGCTGCTGCTGCTGCTGCTTAGTGTGTATGATATCACATAGAACGCAGGAAACGAGGTGGAAACCCACTAGTTTACGTGAACTTATTATCATGCGCTCCTTGAAGTTGGGGGAGTTGACTAAAACAGTGGAGATCAAAGGCACAGACAGCAAAGACAGGCATGTGTGCCACAATGGCACACATGACGAAGACATGGGTGAGGATTGTGTGTGTGTGTGTGTGACTGAGGACAGTAGCTTCATGCCTTCCAAAAATGTTCCCCTTTCATCAAAATTAAACTTGAAATTGGACCACAGCAGCAACAATGGGGATAATAAGAACAAGTTTGCAGCATGAAAGAGACAAAATGCCTGCTCCATGGATGACAAACATCCTGATGAACAAGGAATTCCTGAGGGCCTTTTGAATTCAGTACGGGAGCAGAAGGGAAAAATGAAATGATGTTCCTTTTTATTTCCAAGATGATTATGACTTAGATTCTTCATGTGCTGATTGTTGCTGTTTCTTCTTCCATCAGCTTGCATGATTCTGATAGGATCTATGACACTATAAACTCGACACATGAAATCCAATTAAACTAAAGGTGCCCAATTGAGATCCGACAAATATAATTTAATGATGATGATGTGATATTACCTATACATACTCGATCAACGTAAGTTCAACTGACAAGCAAGTTTGATGGACCTCACGACCTTTCATGGCTGCTACTCATGATGTTCGTGATTGATTAGTGATGAAGCTGCCGAGAGAGAGAGAGAGAGAGAGACTACAACATCGCTTCCTGCAACGATTGCCAGCTAAAGATGTCTCGCCTACCGAAGGCATCATCCACTTCCGGTGCCCCTAATTAAGGCTTCTGCTCCTGTGAACTTGGTAAGTGTTGAGCTTATGTGTTATTGTTTCTTGATTCCAAGATTGTGATCTTCTCTCTCTATCTCTTTAAGATTTAGTGACAAAAAATTTAAGTGTTTATAGAAGGATAAGTAGAGGTGTCAACCCATTGGAAAAATTAGCAAGGAAGACTTCCCCATTTATTTTATTCCTCGACATCTCTTCTTTTATCGCTCTTACAATGAGCTCAAGTCATAGAAGAGGAGGCTTGTTATAAAAAGATAATCTCTAACTTGACCATCGAAGAGGAGGCTTGTTATCAAAAGATAATCTCTAACTTGACCATCGAAGACGCTCATTTGGTCGAACCCTGATGCCTTTCTTTTTCTTTTCTTGTCTTACAAGTCTCCTCTCCGAAGAACATATAATCGAGACGCAAACATCTCAATGATCGAATGAACGAAATGAGTGCAACTACATGTACCTCCATCCTATTGTCAGGGTTATGGTGTCTGATGAATGCCATGACTTATGTGATACCATCTCCAAAGAAATAAACCAATCAATCAGAGTCTCTCAGATGCAATCACAAAATCAAATGATGTCATTAGTCCTCAAGTGACTGTAAGAAACTCTCACTTGTGCATCCTTCTCAGCTGGTTCATTGTACTAAGATGTGAGTTCAGCTACATGTAGAAAGGATTCTTCCTTGATGTGATTGCCAGGACATCTCTATCTATGGCACAAGTGAGAGCTTTAATAGAATCAAAGCAGTTTGTGAATATCTCAGGGCAGGCACTCAAAGATCTGTTAGCAGCTATGTCTCAAGCAGCAGTAGTACATTCTGATGTCTGTCTACAATCAACATAACCTACTAAAGCAGGAACCATCAAAACACTGATCTCACAATGACCCAAAAAATTGCACAAGCTTTGAATTAAGAACCAGAAATAAATTACAAGCAGCAGCAAATTGACACCACATCAAGACCTCTTCGTCTTTGCTTTCATGTCCTGCTGCTTTAACATCAAAGCAAATCAAAGAAGCTGCTACACAAAACAGGTAAGAAAAAGAAAACACACAAGAACTACAGGGACAGACTGCTGAGATGATGTCTCTGTGGATTACAAGCGCTGGAATTCTGAGGGGACCTTCTTGCCGCAGTAGTTGAAAAGCAAGCTGAGATTGATGGGGAGGTCTAGATGAATGCCCAGAACATTGGCCTTCGGGGCAGCGCAAAGGCACACGGTGGTGTTGAGGTCAATGACACCGTTGATGAGAGTGCAGCATTCACATGGCTGCTTCGGAAACTTGCCAATGGCAACAGTGATAAGGCCATTCCACACATTGGCATAGGTGGCCAGTTTGAGGGTGTCAACGAGGCATTTGCCGCTGCCACGGGGCTTAGGGCTAGGGGTTGTGCTAGTACTAGTAGTGCCACAGGCACTGGTGAATGCAGGAAAGAGCAGGTTGAGGGTGAGGAAGAGACTAGCTGACTTTGAACTACCAAATGCAAAAAAAGACTTTGGAAGCCATGGCTTCTGATGCTATAACAATTGCACTCAGAATGACTTAACCGAGAGAACTACCAAGTGCTTGTGATGGACAGTTTGAAAGGCTGCTAAAGTATTTATAGATCAAGGAGGTGTCCGAGGGGTGGGTCATAAACTCCAGTTGTTACAGAGAAAAATGACAAAGTAAGCCATGTGGATGAAGAACACAGCTGCCATAGCATTTTAGCTGGCATTTGCATGGATAATTCAAAGGAAGAAAAAGCTGCTACTTGACTTCTAACATACTTGCTCCACTTTAATTAGCACAGAACACTATAACTTGTTTTGTTTGTTAATCTTTTGCAACTTCATAATTGAAAAACACTTTGTAAAGGTACAGTTGACAAAATACACTAACAGAAAAAAGGAAAGAGAAGGTATATATGCAACTGTGATGATAGCAGGATAGATTGGTTCATACATGTAAACTGATAATAATGTTGAGCACATTGATTTTAAAGATCATAAAGAAACTTTAGAAATTTCAATTATCAGTTTAGTGCCTTCAGTCAAGATGTTGAATTCTACAATTACAACTGAAACACCTATGGCACAACCATATGCGGTATGGAGAACTCGAGTCCAGAATTTGACAATAGGCAAAAGAAGCATAACACCAATCAACCTTGTAAAAGAAAGAAAAAAGGGGGACAAAACACAAATCAAGTGCACTGAGTGCCAAGAGTAGCATCTGACATGCATAGGATGATGTTTTTCCTGGTTCCAAGAGAACTCTGATATCATGTAGCACTAATGCAAAGACAATTGACTACAAATGTACTTAACATTGAGGAGAACAAGCCCTTAATATGAATAGGACCATGCAAAGATGAGAGCAGAAGATATAATAGTTTATCCAATAATAATAAAAAAAGTAGTGTCAAGTACATGCAGTTCAACATGAACTTGTAAAGAGGCAAAATGGTAACTTATGAAAAAATAATATCTACTTTTTCTTTCACCAGACATGTATATGTATACATACATATATATATATATATATATATATATATATATATATATATATATATATATATATATATATATATATTCAGAACAAGTAGAAAAGATTCTGACTTGAGAACTTGGAGGATGATGGAGTTTTTATGTTATCCAAACCAGGGAAAATATCAAGTATCCAGGTCAGACTGCATAATTACATGACATGCAGACAATTGTGGATGTCAAAGACAGATGAAAAGGAAGACAGAACAAGAAGAAGCCATTTTTTATCTGCTCTAATCTATCTTCAAATTTGAATCTGTAATATTATCTGGATGGAAAACAATCCATAATGAACAAGAAAAAAAAAAGAATAAAGTTAAAGCAAAAGAGGAGGTTTACAATGATGAAGAACAAGGAAAACAAAATAATGCATTGATTAGTAATAAAAAGGAATATGAAGATAAGAATTAAGGTAAATACCTCATAATTTTAAATTCTAAACAGTAGACACCACCTTGGGGCAAGGAAGTCATACTAAAAGTCATTGCTAACATATCATTAGCCTCTCTTCTTTGAAGTCGTGTCCCTTGTAATATCTTATAGTTAGTTCTTCTAACCTATCGGAAGCCGAGCCTTCCCTTCAGATGGTAACACTTTTGTCATGTGTGTCTAATCACTACAAGAAATTGATTACCCATCTATCGTAGTATCACCAGTAAAGATTTTTTTAATCTTATATAATACAAATGATTCTACACTTTGTAGTGACTGATGCGGACAGAGTCCTGAGATTGACCTCTAAGTTGCTCTTCTCATATTGCCGATGCATCAGAATTTGTTATTTCTGGTGAGAAACAGTTTGAAGATTAAGAAAATCATCTCCTAAGAGATATTATTTGCATCGTAATTCAGTTTAGATGGAAAATCAGCGATGTAGAATGAGAAGCAATGAGATTGTTTTTATAATAGTGGAATAGAAAAAAAGAAGAGAAAAATAGTAATCTTAATATAATAGAAAAAATTAAAAGATAACTATCAGAATCGTTCTGGCTTAGGACTCCTAGGATGGTCTTGCACCTCCAAACGTTGACGATGAAATCATTCCATCAAAAACAAGTACTTTGCATCACACACACACACAAGGCGAAAAAAGAACTCAGTTCATTAATCCAATTCTAATTGATGTGTTACAATGTTCTAGCTCTTTTTAATAGACTCAAGTACAAAAACAAGAAAACTTATAATTGTATCAAATCAAATATATAATATGTTCCCTTTGAATTGAATAAGGTAATAATTCTGATTTGATTTGAAAAATAATCTTTCTGATGATATTCTTGATTGATCGATTTTCATATTTGTATAGATTTCCTTTATTTTTTTTTCTGCATTTGCTTTCTTTTTCTCTTATGTTATCACAACTTAAAATATCCTTAAACTAATTAAATTTATTTAAAGAAAAAAATAAACTAATTGGTTCCGAATCAGTAACCCAAATTATATAATAATAGGGTGTGGTAAGCACACCCACAATGCAAGCGTGTGCGTGCATTATTTTCCCCTCAAAAATACCTCTTACTATGCATTAGAATCATAAGCATTGCAATCGTCTTTGTAGTAGACTCATCCAAGAGTAGCCAACATTTGTACACTATCTCTAATTATGTTACTGAATCTACAAAATCATTTGCAAGGTTGCAAGAATTGAGAAGTGATAAATAACTTTAGATGTTTAGTTTTATAAATAGTATCCATAAAGATATAAGACAAAACTGGAAGCACATTATGATTTAGATTGGAAAAAAAAAATCCTATCTCCCATCAAACAATAATAGCATGATGGCTACAGATGCAAGAAATAGAGTACAAGCAGAGCTTCCAAGACGCCCAAGAATGCCCCAGCAATAACATCAAGAACGAAATGCCTACCGAGGAGGACGCGAGAAGTCGACGTGGCCACCGACCACGTTGAAACGATCCACACCAGGAGCTCGGCCAGCTCGCCGTCGTAGTAGTCCTCGATCCAGCGGCGGGCGGGCGCGATGGGGCCGTCGAAGAGAAGGACGCGGCGGAGGGAGGCGGAGGAGAGGCGGAGGAAGGCGGCGATGAAGAAGACCCGGGAGGAGTGGCCACTGGGAAAGGACCAGTGGTCGACGGCGAAGGTGAGGCTCATGCCCTTGTTGTAGACAGGCCGGGGGCGGCGGACGAGGTGCTTGATGAGGCCAACGAGGAGGAGGTCGAGAAGGGAACCGAGAAGAAGGCCGAGGAAGAGGGAGTAGGCGACGCCAGAGGCGGAGGAGAGGGGAAGGAGGGCGACGGGGATGGGGAACCAGAAGCGGCCGTCGCCGGAGATCTCGAGGGCTTTGAGGAGGGGGCGGGGAACGGGGCGGCAGAAGGAGTGGACGCGGAGGGACAGGGCGGTGTCGAGCGCGACCAACCGGCGGAGGATGGAAGGACGGGAAGCGATGACAGAGGCGGCCGCGGACGTCGGAGCGTCGGCAGCCATCGGCTCGGGTCGCGCGAGGGCTTCTGGATTCTTTCGTCCCAAACCGATCGGGGTGGGAGCTGTAGGTGGGCACGAACCCATGGGCCAAGTTCTGGATTGGTCCGGTTTAGTTAGACCGTGAATGTTCGGGTCGGTCTCCGTCAATGTGTGTTGCTTCCCAAATTCAAGATCAGGACGAATAAATGAAGCCGTAAGTTAGGAAGTTGTGGGATCGAGTAATATATGAGTGGGAAAATGAGATAGAAATCTAAGTCTGTGTGCACGTTGTAACATATGGGACATTTTCGATTATAGATCCGCTTGTTTTATATAT